GGGGAGCAGGGGAAGGAGCAGGGACAGGGATGGAGTTGCAAGGAGGAGTCAGGACTTACCTCGAAGCCAGGGATGTGATGGACAGCCGGCTGTGGAGAGAAAACACAATTCCCATTGGAATTCCTGCTGCCACCTCAGCCTTACCTGGCAGGGAACATCAGCCCCACCCTGCCCACCTCCAAACACCCTGGGCATGAGGATTCCAGGGAATCCAGGGCTCTCCTCTGTCCAGGAGGCACCAGCAGCACCTCAAATCCACCCAGATGTTTTGTGGATCCGAAAGGCCCTGGAAGGGCACAGCCCTTCCCAAGGATTCCCAGCCCCTCCTGAGCCTTGTCCTGGCTCCAGGGGCCCTGCTGGGAGCTCCAGGAAGGAGGGAGATGCAGGACCACATTCCCAGTGACACCTGGGATGGGATGGGATGGTGTAATGGTTTTTTATTCCTCAAAAAGGGCCAAATCCAGGAGGTTCTTCCTGAGCCCCAACCCAGGAGGACCCCACCCAACAGCCGGCAAAGGCTGGATCTGCTGGGTCTGGAGACTCCAGGGGGAAAGCAGCACTGCAGGAGGGGATGAGGGAGGGATGGGGGTCTCACCTTCTCCCTCTGGATGAGCTCGAAGGCCGCCAGGAGCTCCCCCACGTTCCTGCCTGCCTTGGTGACGGGGTGCCAGCACAGCCGGGGCGAGCGCTCCAGGCTGGGCCGGCAGATGCAGCGGCCCATGAACTCATCTGCTCCCTGCAGGGGAACACAGGCACTGGGAGCCTCCTGCCCAGCCCTCTTCCCAGTGGGATCCACCACCACCACACACCCCCAGCTCAGCCAAAATCCCACCACTCCAGAGCCAGGAACGAGGGATGAACCGTGACGGGACCAGGCCAGAAACTCCAGTGGGTTTGATGTTCACAGGGACTCCAGTTTTCAGATCCTCCCTGGAATTCCTTGAAAAGGGCTGGAAATGCCCTTTCTAAGGCATTCAGCCTCAAACAGGAGGTGAAATCCCTACTCCACAATTCCCAGAGCAGGAGCCCTGAGCATTCAGGATCAGCAGCTCCTAAAAATCCCATTCCCTGCCCTGCAACGGGATCTTCGGTCCAAGAAACATTCCCTGCTTCCAGGACTGCTTTAGGACTTATCCCAAGCTTTTTCCACAGGGAAATATGGTCCATTTGGCCATCTGCACGATGGGGATGCAGCTTCCACCCTTTTTCCCAGTGGAATCCATTTCTACCCACCCACAGCTCAGCCAGGACCCCTCCACCCAAAAACCAGGATCAAGGGATGAACCAGGTCAGAAAATTAAGGGGGTTTGATGCCCAGATAATTTCCAGATTCTCCCTGGAATTCTGAGGGCTGGATATGCTCTTTTTCAGGCATTTGGGCTCAAACAGGAGGTGAAATTCCTATCCCACAATTCCCAGAGCAGGAGCCCTGAGCATTCAGGATCAGCAACTCCTAAAAATCCCATTCTCTGCCCTGCAATGGGATCCTTGGCTGCCTTTGCTGCTTCCTGGTGGGAAGGAGGAACAGGGAGGACAGAAAGGTCCCTGAGAGGTTCCTGAGCATTCCCAAGTTGGATTCCAACCCTTCCAAGCTGTCTGAAATCCCTCCTGCCCTTGGGACAGGCTCCAGCCCAGCTTTCCTGGGAAGGACTCAAGTTGCTGTCCCCAACCCCCCCAAATCCCATCACTCCCAGGCCCTTTGGATACCCTGGCACAGCTGAGCAAGGAGCAGAGGATGCTCCCGACTTCCAGGACTGCTTTAGTTTTTCCCATGGGGAAACCTGGCCCACGTGGCCCCTCTACAGGATGGAGACGCAGCTTCCCACCTCTCTATCCACGGAATCCACCCCCACAGCTCAGCCCAGACCAAAAACCGGGATCAGGGGATGGATGAATCACTGCAGGACCAAGTTTGGAGCAGAAGGATCTCAAGGACACCCCGAGCAGAGCTGGCTCTGCCCCCTGAGTCATACAGAGGTGTCAGAGCCCGGCATTCCCGAGGGCAGGAACGCTGCCAGCGGTGCCAGCCCCCACTCACGTAGGTGTCGTGGTCGTAGATCTCCACCACGATGCTGGGGGGGGCCTCGGCCACGCCCTGGGGGTCCCCGAAGATCTCGATCTCGTAGAAGATCAGGGTCTGGTCCCACGTGGGGTTCAGGGTGTTCTTCACCACCACGGTCTTCTGGCTTTGGTGCAGGAAGGACACGATGGCGTAGGGATCTGCGGGAATGGGAGACAGGGATTGGAGCTCCTGCCCCTCCAGGAACCCCCCAGACCCTCCGGGCAGGGCTCCAAACAGCTCCTCCAGCATTCCTGCACTTCCCAGCCCCCTCCAGCTCTCCATGAGCTCCCCCATGTCTGGCACACTTGGATGGAGATCCCAGGAACATCCCCAGATCCCAGGAACATCCCCAGATCCCAGGAACATCCCCAGATCCCAGGAACGTTCCCTACACGCATCGGGATGGAGATCCCTGGAACATCCACACACACACCTGGATGGAGATCCCAGGAACATCCCACACACAGCTGGGAGCTTTCCTGGGAGCCAAAGTTGTCCTGCCTGTACAGAAGGTAGAGGGACCTCCCCCACACAACCTGGATGCAGATCCCAGGAGTTCCCAAAACCCACCTGGATGCAGGTCCGAGGAACACCCCACACCCCCAAACCCTGCACTGCCACAAGAATTTTCCTGGGGGCCAAAGGTGTCCTGCCTGTGCCAGAGGTGATGGAACACCCTGCACACACCTGGATAAAGGTCCCAGGAACCTCCCACTCACACCTGGATGCAGATCCCAAGAGTTCCCCACTCACACCTGGATCCAGGTCTCAGAACATCCCCTAAACCCCTGGCAGCAGATCCCAGGATCCTCCCCAGCCCCCTGGCTGCAGGGCCAGCTGAGCAGGACGCCATTCCCCCTCCTCCCTGCCCTTTTCCAAGGACTGGGGCTGGATTCCCACCCGAAGTATCCGACCCTTCCCACTGGGAAGAGCCTTTCCCACTGACACACTCTTTTCCAGCTGCAGCAAAGGAGAAATGGTTACAATAAACAAAAAAAAACCTGGATTGGGATTGGCTTTTTTTTTTTTTTTCTCTTTTTTCAACCCCCCCTTCCCCTTCTCCTGCTTTTCCAAGGAAAGCTCTCAAAGCCCCTTTGTTCGGGGTGCACAGAAGGGTTATTTGTCTCCCTGTGCAGAGCCCCCTCAGTGCCCCCCCCTCCTGCTTTGTCAGGGCAGTGGGATCACAATCCCACACTGTGCCGGGTTGTCCGTGGCCGGGATTTTCCAAGGGAAGGATTCCTGGTGCAGGAGCTCCCCCCTCCCAGCCGAGCCCCTGCTGCTGGGCACAGACACTGGGGGGGCTGTCTGAGGGCTCTGCCCCCTCCAGGGCATTTCTGTCCCCCCTCATCCCTCTTTTCCAAGCCCTGGGAGGAGCAGGATCCCACTGGGATCACGGTCCTGCTGCCTGCAATGGGGATGTCCCACCAGCTGCTCCCACCCCCATTTTGGGGGGGTGTCCCTGTATCCCACCCCAGATCCACCTCCCCTGCCACCACACTGGTGGGCAAGTCCGTGAAAATCCCTTGGAAAATCCCCATGGAAGTGGGCAGGGACAGCCCTGGAGGTGCCTGAGGGATCCCTGTGCAGGGGGTGGGTGCTCCAGGGACTTGGAGATCTCCCTGGAGACATTTCCAGGGATTTGGTCACACCTCGGGTGTGATCCCAGCACACAGCAATGACCTGACAGGGGACATTCCACATTGTCCCAGCTCCAGCTCTGATCCAGAGGCACTCACATCCCCTTTGCCCACTTTTCCCTCTCAAAACCAGGCCCTGACATCCCTTCTCCTGAGCACATCTGCCTGTGCTCCATCACATCCAGCCTGGAGAAGAGAAGGCTCCAGGGAGAGCTGAGAGCCCCTGGCAGGGCCTAAAGGGGCTCCAGGAGAGCTGGAGAGGGACTGGGGACAAGGCATGGAGGGACAGGACACAGAGAATGGCTTCCCACTGGAAAAGGGGAGATTTGGGTGGGATATTGGGAAGGAATTTGGGGCTGTGAGGGTGGCGAGGCCCTGGAAAGAATTTCCCAGAGAAGCTGTGGCTGCCCCTGGATCCCTGGAAGTGTCCCAGGCCAGGTTGGACGGGGCTTGGAGCAACCTGGGCTGGTGGGAGGTGTCCCAGGGTGTCCCTGGATAAGTTTTCCAGCCCCTCCCAACCCCAGGATCCAGGTGGACATGTGGGTCTGGGCTCACCTGAGAAACTGTCCTTGTCCATGGCCAGGAGATCCCGCGCCTGGTACAGGTAACAGCGCAAGTGGTACCTGTTCCCACCTGCCAGAGGAACAGGAAACGCATCAGGGATGAGCCAGGGATGGTTTTCCACCCCTCTCCAGGCTGTGTCTTGGCTCAGTTTCCCCTGAGCCCATCACATTCCCACATGGACAAATCCATGCCCCGTCCTGCCCCTCCAGCCTTCTCCCATCCCCTGCTTCCCCCAGGCCAGGGGCACAGGCTGGGAAGTGCCTTCCCCATCCCCTTTGCCCCCCAGGCTCTCACAGTCGAAGATGCAGGAGATGGTGGGTCTGTTCACTCCAAAGCTCAGCGTGGACACGCCTTTCCCATCTTCACTCCTGTCGTCCGTCACCCCTCCCTGCGAGGGAGAGGCAGCCAAGTTGGGGCACCCCAGGATCCCCCCCAGAGCCAGGGCCCCCCATGGGGTGGGCTCCTCCAGGGCATCACCCACACGGGGGTCCAGGAGGAGTTTGGGCTTCTAATGCTCCACAGAATTGTGAAATTCCAGTTGGAAAAGGCCTCTGAGACCCCCAAGTGCAACTGTTGCCACCCCTGACCGTGTCCCCGAGTGCCAAATCCACAGGGCTGTTAAGTCCCCCCAGAGATGGGGACTCCCCCCTGCCCTGGGCAGCTGGGCCAGGGCTGGACAGCCCATTCCAGGAGGAATTTTTCCCATTTCCTCTCCTCCTGTCCCTGTTCCCTGGGAGCAGAGCCCGACCCCCCCCGGCTCCCCCCTCCTGTCAGGGATTGCAGAGCCAGGAGGTCCCCCCTGAGCCTCCTTTTCTCCAGGCTGAGCCCCCCCAGCTCCCTCAGCCCCTCCTGTTGCTCCAGCCCCTTCCCAGCTCCATTCCCTTCTCTCCCAGTCCGACCTTGGCTCTTCCCTCCCACCGTGTCCTGACCCAGCCTTTCATCACCTCCCAGTTGCCCCACTGGCCTTGGAATATTTAGTGGAAGGAAAAGGAGGGATTTCTGAGGATGGGAATCCCACCCAAGGGCTCCAGGGTGAAGGGGGAGGAGGCAGAGTCCCACCAGCAGGGTGGGTGGGTGACAACCAGGACCCCCAGGTGGGATCAGTGGGAGCTCAGGGAGACTCCAACACTTGTTACCCCCTCCAAGTGCTGCTGGTTTTCCATGCAGAGCTCAAGGACAAGACTCGAGACTCGGATGAGGGAGCAGCATGTCCATGGATGCAGAGGAGGAACCCCCTCAGCATCCCAGACCTCCAGGGGTGACCTTCCCACCAGCCTGTCACCCGGGGACGGACAGAGCAGGAAAAGAGGGGAAAAAGCCAAATGGAGGGGGGGAAAAACCCTTAAAAACAATGAACAGGGGCTCTGGGCTGCAGGGTTGGGTCTCCTTTGGTCACCGGGAAAGCCGGGAATCAGGGAATCCAGAAAGCTGGGATATCAGGAAACAAAGAGGGCGGGAGAACGAGCTGATAAGGAGCGGCTGATAACGAGCTCCGACCTGACCCGGCTGAATCCATTCCCAGGCAGGGATTGGGGAAGGGAAGGGGTTCCCTACCAGAGCCCCCTCCAGGGCGAAGACGGCGGCGGCTCCGGTGCGTTCCAGGGGCTCCATCCTGCGCCTCCAGCGGCGCCGGCGGAACGAGTCGGTCCGGCGCTGCTTCAGGTGGAAGCGCCAGCCGAAGAGCGACGCGTATTCCCAGCCCTCCCCATCCAGCTCCTCCTGCTTGTGCTGCCGGACAGGGACACGCCGGGGCTCAGCGGGGTCGGTGCCACCGCCCCCCCCCGGCCCCGCTGGAGGTGACAGCGGGAAAACCACCCGGCTTTTCCAGCACAAAACTGTGGATTCAGGGTCTCCAGGGTGTTGTCGGCCACGGTTGTCCCACCCCGTGTCCTCCCTGTGCCTCCCCAGCTTGGAATCGTGGAACAGAGTGATGGAATCGTTGAGAGGATCACAGGAATGTTTAGGTTGGAAAAGACCCCCAAGGTCACCCAGTTCAGGTTGGGAAAGACCCTTAAAAGCATCACAGAATCATGGAACGGCTTGGGTTGGGTTGGGTTGGGTTGGGTTGGGAGGGATATTAAAGCCCCCCCAGTGGCACCCCCTGCCACGGGCAGGGACACCTTCCACCAGCCCAGGTTGCTCCAAGCCCAGTCCAGCCTGGCCTGGGACACATCCAGGGATTAACCATCAGCAGTGCCGGCTCCACCCCTGGGAATTCTGCCCTTCCCCAGCCCCTGGGGTGAATCCCACTGGGAGTGGGGTCGCTGGGCTGGGGGGTTCCCATGCTGAGCAAGGAGGAGGCCACATCCAGTGCCTCCACAGCCTTCCCTTTGCTTTTCCACCTTCCCGTGGCTCTGTCCCCTCTGGAATATCTCCCTGGATCATCAGCCACAACCCTGTGAAGGTTTTCCTCCCCAGAGTTAGCAAGCAGGGTGCCAGGGGCTCCCCAGGGCCACAGTGATGCGGGAAAAGTGCTGGAGAGGGAGACAAGTGTCCTTGGAAAGCGGCGGGGGGGAGGGAGGAGCTGCAGCTGCGGAGCCATTCCCGCTCCAACTGCACCATCTAGAGGGAAGCGGGGCAGGGACAGGCTGGGGACAGCCGGCCAGCCCTGCTCTCCCGCGCTCTGCGACACCGCTGGATGTCCCCACCCCGCCCCAGAGCGCGGCCAAGCCCCTCTGGAGTGGTGGCTACTCCGGGAGATGTTGACATTCCAGGTGGGAACTCCCAAGGGCGGAGAGCGGGGCCAACAACTTCGGGGAAAACCAGGTCTGTGCCAAAGCCACCTCCAGGTGGAGGGGCGGGGACACTTCAGGGAAGGACAGGGACACATCCCCGAGCGGCTGCCACCCCCCTCCAGCCCATCCCACCTTCCTGGAGGTGTCCATGTGCTCCAGGTCGCGCCGGCGGAGCCGCACCCAGCGCCGGCGCCGGTTGGTGTGGTACATCTTCTCCGCCGGCACCCAGGCCTTGGGCTTGCGCTCCGGGGGGATGGTCAGCCCGTATTCCCAGCCTGGAAGAGCGGGAGACACCCGGCTGAGGAGCCCCCCGCCTCCCTGTGCCCCCCCAGGGAGCCTCAGCAGGGCAGTGTGTCCGGATCCCAGGCGATTTCCCGGCTTGTTGCTCCTGCCCACAGTGGTACCCACTGGATGTGTCCCTCTGGGATGTCCAGGGGGTGGATCCGTGGGGGCCCTTGGCTCAAAGTTACAGCCTGGGGACTGTTCTCCCTCCCTCGGGCCGCCCCAACCCTTGTGAGCACCTCTGGCCTGATGTTTTCCACTCCTCTTGCACCAGAATTTAGGAAGATGTTCCTGGACTATCCCAGCAGCCAGGAGAGCGCTGCCTTTGGGAATTCCCACCCCCAGGGCCTGACCCCCTTCTCCTGATCCAGCAGAGATCCAGGACAGGTCTCATCCCTAGTGATGGGGATGATCCCAGCAGGATGGGGAATGAACAGAGGGCCCCCAAAAGTGCTCCTGGGTACCTTTCTCATCCACAGCTCTGTTGAGATCCGTGTCCCACTCCAGGTCTTCCCATTTCCAGCCTGGAGGACACTCAATCTCATCCTTGGGCAGGACCTTCTCCCCGTTCTGTGGGACAAAGGGGTGTTGTCAAAAAAAAAAATCCATAAATCCCCCCTGATCTCCAGCACTTCCAGCCCAGGGTGGTACCCAGCTCCAGCATTCCCACTTTTCCCTCACCACATCGGTGTAGGCGTCGGTCATGTGGATCCACTGCCCCCCAGGGAGCCGGACCTGGTTCTCAAACACCTCCTCCACGAAGCTCAGGTGTCCTGCATCCACATCATGGAGCAACCTGCATTCCAGGAGACATCCCAGTCAGGGATTGCCCATCCCACCCTCCACCTCGTGGAGCAACCTGCATCCCAAGGGTACATCCCAGTCAGGGATTGCCCATCCCACCCTCCTGGGTATCGCCACAGCCTCGGGCCATCCCCAGCATTCCCAAACCCCTTCCACCTCAGACTCCAGGAGAAAAACTGCCAGGAGACCTCCAGATGAGCCCAAACCCCATGAAATCCCTCCCAGTGCCCCACGGGGATCCCACTCCCAAACCTCCTCCTCCTCAGAGACCCCCAGCCCTCCCCACTGACCTTTCCCCCAGCCTGGCCCCCGCTGTGGTTTTTGGGCTGCCCCCCCTGCCCCGGCAGGACCGTCCCACTCACGTCCTCTCGGGGCAGACGAACCAGTCCCCGGCCCAGGCCCAGCCGGCCGAGGGGCGGAAGCTTTCCTTGGGCAGCTTCATCCTGCCCGTCACGTCCGAGTACTTGGGGTAGGTGAGGCCGGTGGTGCCCCAGTTCCCCACCAGCGCCAGCTTCGTCTGGTTCTCGTACTGGGGGAGCGACAGTAGGTGAGGTTTGGGTCGGAGGTGCAGAACCCCAGGAGTCATCCTTTAGAATCCCACGACCAAGCCCTGCAGGGCCCCACCCTGAGGACAGATCTCCAGGGAAAAGCCATCCCAGCAGCCCCACACCACCACGGGCACCCCCAACTTCCCTCCCCTCCAGCAGCTGGATGGGGATCTGAAGGGACAGTGTGGATTCATGGCTCATTCCCAATTCGCTCCTCAGCATTCCAGGCTGGATGCTGGAGGAACGAGCTCCCTCCTCTCACAGGTTTCAGGGACTGATGTGACCCCTGGAGGTGCTGCCCACCCCGGGGAGGCCCCGTCCCGGGACGTGGCTGTGGAGCACTCACGGTCTCGGCGAACACGGAGAGCTTCCCCTCGGCGTAGCGGTTGAATTCCTTCTCGTCCGCGGCCAGGCCGAGCCAGAGCCGCACCCGGATCTGCGCCGGGATCCGCGGCCCCGGAGCCTCCTCCTGCGGGTACTGCCCGGGAACAGCCCCATCAGCACCCCCGGGCGGGGGGGATTAACGGGAATGCTCCACATGGGAGGGCGGGAATGGAGCCCCGGGGGGGGAAAGCTGGGAGCTGGGACAGTGTGTGGAGAGCTCTGGGGATCAGGGCAGGGAGAGACCTTTGGGATCATCCAGTCCTGCTGTCAACGGCCCTAAAATGTGTTCCCAGGTGACCCTGGGCAGCTTCAAAGCCCCAGTGGTTGGAGGCAGGGAGAGGGTCAGGATCAGGAACAAGGACAAAGGCAGGGACAGGGTCAGGAAGAGGGACAGGGACAAAGTCAGGATCATGGACAGGGGCAGGGACAAAGTCAAGGACAAGGACAGAGTCAGGATCAGGGAGAAAGTCAGGGACAGGATCAGGGACAGGGACAAGGTCAGGTTAAGGTCAGGGACAGGAATAAGGTCAGGGACGAGGTCAGGATCAGGGACAGGGATAAGGTCAGGATCATGGACAGGGTCAGGGACAAAGTCAGGAACAAGGACAGGATCAGGGACAGGGAAAGGGACAAGGCCAGGGAAAAGGTCAGGATGAGGGACAAAGTCAGGGACAAGATCAGGGACAAGGTCTGGATCAGGGACAGGGATAAGTCAGGGAAAAGGACAGGGACAAAGAAACAGGATCAGAGTCAGGGACAAGGACAAGGTCGGGGACTGGGTCAGGATCAGGGACAAAGCCAAGAACAGGGACAGGGGCAAAGTCAGGGACACCCTTCAGGGTCAGGACACCAAACCCAACCCACACATTCAGCAAAAATAGAAATAGTCCACAGGAATTTTTCCTCATTGCCCTTTTTTCTCCCTCTAAGCCACTTTTCCCTAATCCAAGTGCTGCTGGTTTTCCATCCAGAGCTCAAGGATAGAAAAAAAAAACCCCAATATATGAATTTTAGGTCATTTTTGCTGCCAGCTGGATTTGGGCTTCGGGACTCTACTGAGTTTATTTTATTTGACTTTATTTTTTCAGAGCTTGTTCAGTGCTGATTCTCTGCTCCTGAGCTGGCACCAGCCAAGGAATGTCAATGGAGACGGGAGAAACTCAGGAACTGCCTGGCAGGGGAATGGCAGCTTAAATTTCCTGGGGTGGCAGAGGGTCAGGAATTGGGGGAAAAAAAATGTAAAAAAATTTAAAAACAAGAAATATTTTCTAAAAAAGCACCATCTGGGCCAAATCTTCACTGCCCTGGAATTGCAGAATAAAGGGAGATATTCACAGGATCTGCTGTAGATCCATGTGGGAAGAGCTGGAGTCCTCCAGCAGCACAGCTGAGGTATCTCCGGGGAGGAGCAGCTCCAGCTGGGTGGAAATCCCAGAGAAGCTGTGGCTGCTCCAGCCCTGGAAGTGTCCAAGGGCAGGTGCCCGTGGCAGGGGATGGGATGGGATGGGATGGGATGGGATGGGATGGGATGGGATGGGATGGGATGGGATGGGATGGGATGGTCTTCACCATCTTTCCAACCCAAGCCGTGAACCTGGAGCTGCTGCGCTGGGGTTTGAGGTTTCCCTGCCTTATTTTCTCTCCATTCTCAGGGGAAAACGTTTTAAAAACTCCAGCCCCACCGTGGACAGAGAGCCCAGGGTACCTTGAGGAAGATGGTCTGCAGCTTGCCGCAGTCGGCGCCGCAGCACTGGGGGATGTTCCTGGAGAAGAGCACCCGGTGTGCCGGCACACGGGCGTAGGCCACGCGCCTGTCCCCCTGCAGCATCCAGATCACGATGTCTGGCAGGCTGTTCTGGGGCTGGGAACAGGACAGTGAACAGCTGGCAGGGATCCTTTAGGCCCTGCCAGGGGCTCTCAGGTCTCCCTGGAGCCAAACTTGGCACCTGCCAGTCACGGGACAACCACGGATTGGGGAATCCAACACCGCCATCCCTGCTTCCCACCAGAACACACCACCGTGGAGAGACTGGGAAGAACAAGCCCCTCCAGGGAGCACGGGAGCCCCCAGGAGCACCCCAGCAGTGTCACCTCTGTGCCATGGCCCTGAGATGGCACAGCCAGTGTCACCCTGCAGTATCACCCAGCAGTGTCACCTTTGTGCCATGGCCCTGAGATGGCACAGCCAGTGTCACCCAACAGTGTCACCCAGCAGTGTCACCTCTGTGCCATGGCCCTGAGATGGCACAGCCAGTGTCCCCCCTGCAGTGTCCCCCCCTGTCCCCATCCCAGCAGTGTCCCCCCCATGTCCCCATCCCAGCAGTGTCCCCCCCTATCCCTATCCCAGCAGTGTCACCTCCTGGGCCATGCTG